CTTACCTTCATTATGACCCTTGACTCTCCTTCGGCTTTTCTGGCGCTGCCTCAATCTCCTCAACACCAGCCTGGGTCATCAGGTCAGCGATATTTTTCTCCAGGTCATCTATACGAGTGCTCATCTCATCAAGTGAAGGACTAGTTAAGGTAAACCGTACAGGCAGAAGCACCTCTAAAATCCGTAAATCAAATGACTTTAGGTAGTTTTAAGAATGATTTTATTCTATTAAAATAAAAAAAATGGTAATATGTCAGGATATTCCTCCCAATAATCTGGTCTGACATGGTCTGGAACTTGTCTTGCATCTGCTGCAGCAAAGTCTGGACCTGTTGGAAAAGGAGAAGTGTGAATAAGTTTAAAAATATATGCTGGCACCAAAGCACTGGGGTCAGCAAGCAGTTCTTTTTAAAAAGAACTAAAAGCTGGTCATTGGCTTGTTTCCATGCCAACAGTGGAAATGGGAAGGGTAACCATGGAAATGTCTAATTCACTTTTAAAGGTGGTTTACAGGAAAGCATATTCTTGTCGTTTTTGATCAGTCTATCAGTTATTTTTGAAAGATTAAAAAGTTAAACAATTTTACTAGTAGTAAAAGTTTCTACTGGTTTAATGGTAGATCAATCTGGCTAATGTTTCAAATCTGGGAAAGAAAGAGAAATTATTCAAAAAAGGTATCAATGACTCATCTTAAAGGTAGCTTTAAAGTTCAAAAATTGTCTATTGGTTGCAATATTTGTAATGAAACGTATCAGACCAAAAGTTTTAGACTGGATTCTAGTTTGCAAGAGTCAGTATTACAGGAGCATTTCCCAGTGTTTGCTAAAATGCAACATAATAGGCTGTCATGGTTACCATGGATATAAGCTTTGTGATACATAAGATCATCTGCACGAATTGTTCCTTTTACAACACCGGGAGTAGCCTAGATATTTGAAACTAAAGGAAAGTACAGGAGTCATCATGACGGAGGAAAAGAAATTGAAAAAGAAAATGTTTTAATTGTCGCAGTCTCATGTTGACTAATATCTGAACGATGTAAGCGCTTAAATGCCACTCTGGATCATCTACATGTAAACAGCAGACATTTGGACCGATAAAAATAACAGTTACAGCTGAAATTCACCAGTAAATCTACCATTAACTCGTGCGTTCATGGAATTGTGTCATTACAACGCAGAAATGAAATGTAGAAATAGGCAAAGCTACGCTAATTGGGTCGAACAGTAGTTACATGCAGCGGTAAATTAAACCAGGGTCAGAAGATCAGAGTGCTTTGATTTGTCCGCCTGTTAGTATTTCAGTAATCGCGCATAATTCGACATGAATGCTCCAGGTGTTTTACTATAGCCTTAAAGTTTTGTACATAGCTTTACCGTCGTTAGCATTCATGTTAGCAATGCCAGAAAACGCTATGTAGCTAGCACTAGCTTTCCTTACGTCACGACTCACCACATTGGTAAGGTCCTGCACCGACTTGGGGTCCGTCTCAGCCATGGTGTGTAATAACCGACAATTAAAGTCTTCAGGGGGCTAAAAAAATCTGATATAAAGCCGCTAGTTAGTATTGAATCGGTCTCAACTATAACCAACCGCCCACTCAGCTGTTCCACAACAAATATAGTCTCGCGAGAAGATAGACGTGATGTACAGGCAGCATAGAAATATAAGAGTAGAAGTTGCCCTAATGTTAATCATTGGCACGGTTTTGCGTGCCCCATATTGTGAGTGTCAGGTTCACGTTAGAAAACCCAATTTGTGCGTTTTAACTTATCACTGATTTAATGTGCATTGTTAATATACTCTTAGCACTTATACGGGGCTGTTACTAATCCCGCCTGCAAGGTTTAAAGAATGTGACTAAAAAATATGCCGGTTAGGGCTTAGTTTTGTTTGGGACAGCTGTCTACCATTGCTGCCCTTTTTTCTGCTTCTTCAATATACCAAAGTATGTTTTATAAGCTATCACTTATATCATTTGGGATATTAGAAACAATCTTAGTTCAATCACTATTAACCACTGCTGGCCCTTTCTTCCATTCTAAATGTCTACAGATGTGTCTAATTAGGCTTTGCTGACCAACATCTCTCTACTTCCTATCATAAGCTGGACTGTCTCAAAGGCAACCGATGCACAACTTGCACATGTTCTGTGCTTTTTAGCAGGATGTCATGGACTCAAACATCGATGGCTTCCTCTAGCAGTGTGTCACTAAGCTCAGATAATCACAGACTGGTTTCTTAAGAATGATCCTGACACTAAAGCTCCCCAGATCTTGGTGCAACAGGAGACTTAAGGGATGTCGTGGAACCGGAGGTTCTCATTATTAAAGTTCAGCCTACAGCTCTATAGTAATCATGTGGAGTTTTCAAGTCAATATGAACCAAAATCTCCATGGAATGTTTTTTTTTAATGCTGAATTAAAAAAAAAAAAAAAAAAAAAAAAGTTCTGGAAAGAAATTATAACAGTAACGTTTAAGTGTAAATGTAATGACATTAGACATTTACACTATAAAGATATGCCAGTCCTGCAGTGGCAGTTCCATAATTGTGTCATAGGGGTCTAGGCAGGGACCAATGTGCAGTGAGGGGTGGCTAAAAAATCTAAACTGTAGGGGCAGAAACCAATTCATGGTCAATCTACATTGATCACAATTAACCAACAGGAAGATCAATGCACAGAACATCTATATTTTCCAAATAAATCACTAAAGATAGATTAGATTTTCACGAGGCCCTTACTAGTTATGCACGTATTTATACATCAGCGCTGTTAAACTAATGTATAGTTCTGCTTAATACATTCATTAAATGGGTTCAGCAGTTCTTTATTTTTAATTTAGAAGATTCATAGATGACTGCAGAGACAACTCTCCTCCATAAAACATAAAAACAAATTTTGTATCAGTCCTCTTGAATTTATTTTTGTGAATAATTCATTTTTGGTGTTAGGTTTTTGGTTAATATGGTAACTGTAAAATAGGATATTCCAAATGATGGTATCACTTGTTTAGAGGAAAACTGCTTTTCCCAGAGGTGGTGAATTAATGCTGCATTTATGTGGTATCATAATTGTGGTAAATACCAAAAACCGACAGGAAAATTGCACATGAACACCCACTCATGTTGTAATTTCAACTGAAAAGATAAAAAATAATAAAAACCAAGTTACCCGAAATGAGGTCAACTTTGACCTTTCAACATGTCAGAGAGCAGAGAAAGTATTCTGTATGATAAGTACTGCGTTATTAAATGTTCTCTCTTGTTGTGTTTGTAGCCTACACCAGGGTCTTCAACGTTTTCCAGGCCAAGGACCCCCAAACTGATGGCGAGATGGAGCGGGGACCCCCTAATTATATATATTGTTTAAAATTGTGTTATATCAAACGGGCCTATAGTCACTCTATTGCAGATGGAGTAATGTAACGAAAGTAATTTCGCCCTGAGATTATTAAAGTATTTCTGATTATGATTCCTCGTTGATATGATAAGTGTTATGAATGAAACTGTGCCCAGCTTGAAAGAGCTCCTGTGTGTCGCTGAATGTGTGGCCTCCATTTATCTGTTTACTACAGTGTGTAAATTCATGTAAATGTGTATTTAAAAACATTTCAATTAGTGGAAAAATTGCAGGGGGGAATATATATATATAAAAAAAGACTAATCAACCAAAACCTTTGCGACCCCCATGCAGTACCTCCGTGGACTCCCTAGGGTACGGACCCCCTGTTGAAGACCTCTAGCCTACGCAATGCTGATGTACATTTCTTTTTTACAATATGGCCATTTAAACTGTTGTTTGATTTTATCAGATACTTGCTAGTAGTCTGTCAATGATAGCAGCCAGTAGGGTACTCTGCAATCTGTGCTCTGACACAACAATTTTCTGACTTGATTTGTAGTGTATGCCAATGAGCGCATGATTTACTGGAACCGGACATGACCCTATCTTACCCTAGTAGCTTGTGAGGATAATCTGTGGATCCACCATGTTCACCTTTTCTAACACAACTAAAACACTTGAATACAATGCACTGGTAACATCCCATTTAAAGTAAAAAGGATAATCTTCACCATACCAGTGGTGGCGGAGTAGCGGCCTAGTGATTAGGGCGTAGAACTTGGAATCCTGAGTTTCTGAGCCCCACTCCCACAGCCTGCTCTCTGGGTCCCTGAGCAAGACCCCTTAACCCCACACTGCTCCCCGGGTGCCGCACAATAGCAGCCCACTGCTCCCCAAGGGGATGGATCAAATGCAGAGACAGTGTAATGACAGAAAAAAAAAAAAAAACAACACATGAAGGCGTCATAAATGCATACAGAAACAACAAATTACCAGGTAGAAGTGGGCACGCCCCTATATATAGATTTGGGTTCAATAAAAGAAAAGCATTAGGTATGAAAAGAAATGTATTACAAGAAAGATTCAAACCCTGAATATCACCTGTAGGGATGCTGCTGTTTGACAGAAATGGAGATGCTCATGCTGGAAATTAAAAGTGCACATTATCTCCCCCAAAGTGATGTTAAAGACTCACTGACACTTATTCTAAAGGCTTGATGGTAACTGTTACTGACAAGGGTGGGATAATCAATATTGGGTGTACTTCTTTTTCAATTTAGGTTTTGATTACGGTACTTTTTTTTTCTTTAACTACTCTCCTTCCGTTTTAGGCTACTTAGTTTTGGATAGTATGTTCAGTATAATGTGAAGAAGATTATTTCAGAGCCACATTTTTATCCAAAACGCGGATCTATGCTAATCTAACCTACAAAATTGCCACTCCCAATATGGCGGCAACTGACTGGCTTGTGTAGCTTCTAATCATCCAGGTATATGTGTGGAAGATGGAGTTTTGAAAAGGAACACCTACGGTCATCTAAGTTTATTGATCTGTCAAACGTTTATCCTCATATTAAGTGATTTACTTTCATTAAAACTATTCTTAAAGGGAATTAAATGAAACAATAAAAACTGTGGTTTTCAAACCGGAAAAAAAAGTTTGTTTGGGTTCGTGCGCGCGCACGTGTGCGCCGATGCGCGCTCTCTGTTCAGATTGAGAGAGTTGAGATTTGAAAGTTGGAGCAGAAAGGATCTTGGTTCGTTTTTAAGGCTTTTGAGACCTGCAGAGATTCCGGGATTACTGAAACAAGGTAAATAGATGAAGAGGAAAGGTGAGTAAAGCTCCTTCCTGGAAGAATGTCTCACCTGAGATGAAGTTCCCACAAACTCATCCCTGAGAATAGATCCCTGGGGTTTATTTTACCACCACCTGTTTGCACGAATCAATATTTAGAATAATTACTGATCAGACTGACCCCAATGATAGGAAATGAATTTCTCCTTGTGTTAATTAATGTCTGGATGTTCTGTGCTGGAAGAAGTTTAGGCATGTTGGCCCTTCCCCTTTAAACTATGCTTTGGTTACCTAACCAAGCCTGTTCCTCTGTCAGAAGGGGCCAGCACGTCTCTGCTGCTGCTGTTATGAGTTTATTCTCAGCTCCAAGCAGAAACAGCTGCCGAGCTGTTAAATTCCTGAATAATATTTAACTTCAGTGTTTAAATCCATGCAGCAGGTTTGAAACAGTTCTGCATTGTTATCTTTTTTAATGTCCTTCTTTACAGCCAGACATTAAAATTCTTGATAACTTTAGAGAAGCTTTTTTGCTTGCTATAAAACAAGCTCTATGCCTCCTTGCAGCTTAGGTTAAAGAACAGTTTTTATTAGATTCCTTCAAACTATAGCTGCAGTTACTGTTCTATTGAAAATACTCTGTTGTGGAAAATATAAGGACTTGAAAACAGATGATTTTTGTTACATGTCATAAAAAAACAACTTTTAAATCTGCTAATGTTTTATTTTAAGGCTATGCTGGGTGATGTTGAAATCCAATATAGGCAGGCAGAGAAGCACACATGTATGCGGGTGTTGCACTTCTTAGATTTCTTCCTGGACTTTGCAGAGTTTTCATAGAATATGTAGCTCATGCTTATCTGTAAACAGCAGCTTAGTTGTTGGATAATGAACCAATGTAATGTTTAGAATCAGCATTCTCTCTGGAAAATCATGGGGAAACAAATTACTGTTGCAGCTTTAGCTTTATATGTGTGTGTTTGTGGTTGGGGGTGGGGGTTGCCAGGGGTGCATGAGACAATTGAAGTTATTGAAACACACTGTTCAGAGTATTCAGACTGGGAGTAAAAAGTATCACAGAAGTCTTCTAGTATGAGGAGATGTTTCAGGGCTTTTTATCTGCAGCTAATGCTGACCCCTGCCACCCATATTACCTCAGCTGTGCCCCCCATTACCCGCCTGTTACCCCTGCCTTCATCTGACCTTTTCCTGCTGTACATGACACCTCGTGTGTTCTACACCTTTAACATCTATTTCCAGACTGTCATGTTTATTCTATTTTGCTCAGTTATAAATGGCATAATCACATTTCACCAGCTCATATCTGTTTTCTGCTCTGTGCTTGTTTTATACCATCACTATCTACCAAAAGCAGAAATGTAAACATAATTCTTTATATTTATTTATATAAACTAGGGCTGCAACTACTGCGAAACGATTGATCTCTCTATAATTGTTTCCCATTAATTTATTAATAATCGGATAGCCAAAGGTTCCTTAAAGAAGATTTTTCACGAAATTAAACCAAGAGAAAATAAAACTTTTCGACTTGAGGAGTTCTGGATTGAGCATATTGACAGATGAAAAAGTTGAATGTTTATATATATATATATATTTTTTTTTTTTTTACTATGTTGGTATAATTACCGCTCTAACTGGGTCGCTCTGTCAGCTAAAGGCATATTTTATAGTCTCTATGCTCCAGTTAATGATTAAATGACTACTTAATTAGTTGATGATTGTTTCAATAACTGATTTGTCATGATTTATCCAATTAATTGCTTCAGCCATAATGTAAACATATTTTGTGAGATTGCTCTTTTCTAACTGGCTGAGAAACATTAACTCATGTCTTGACAGAATCATTATATTTCTTTACTACAGTGTGTATGTCACAATCCTAAACTGTACAAGAAAAAATAGTTTATAAGAGAGAAACTAAAACCTGAAAACATTTGTGCTCATGAAATCTGTGATCTAAATGCATCAAAATCTCTTACTTAAGTAAAACTTTGGATTAATCTACTTACTATAACTTAAGCTATTATGCTATTTAAGATTGGCTGAAAATACATTAAACACCAGATACTGTGGCTCAGGTCTTTTTTTTAAGTTTATGTTGAACAAATTCACATAGAAAAGTGTTTTGCCAGCTCAAATTGTTAATTTTGTAAACATGTAATGTATTTATTGTGTTTTTTATTTTTATTCTTTGGAACAACAGAATTTGCAAATAACTCCTAAACATTAAATCTGAAGTTATGCACCAACAACTACTCCATACTAGAGTGGACAATTTACCAAAAACCTTTTTATTCTTACTTGAATATTTCTTATGATTACTAGTTACAAATTTTACTTCAGTAATAATAATAAAAAAGTACAGCTACTATTACTTTAGTAAAATGTGTTGGTGCTCTGTCCATCTTTGTTCTTAACTGTTGAGAAATCAGACCAGTTCACTTTTACTGTATAAATAAAAATTCAATTATTTTATGTGAAAACCTGAAAGTAAAATGCTTAAAATAGTGGAAAAAAAGCAATGGTTTATAATTACTCCACTTGGGCTAAAACTCTCTTCTGTGCAGGAAAAGTCGCCTTATTTAAGAAGTTCTTTTCTTTTTGTGTGGGTAAATAACATCTCAATTAGGGCTTAAACAATTAATCTGGATAAATAGATTATTAAAATAATCGGCTACTACTTTAGTAATGAATTTATCCTTAAATGGATTAAAAACTTTAACACATTAGCTGAAAGAGCAACCCACTCAAGAGTAATTATGCCAACATTTAAGGTGGAAAACCTTTTTTGTCCATGAATACGCTGTTTAGAACTCCTTAAGTGGCAATTCTGTATAAAATCTTCAAGGGACCTTTTGCTGTCTGATTTTTAATGAATTAATAGAACAAAATAATTGACAGATTGGTCAATTATCAAAATAATTATTAGCTGCAGCCCTAATCCCAAACTAATTGTGTGAGGCTAAATATAGTGCCCCATGATATTGAGAATCATAAAAAGAAACAAATCATTAGGAAAAAGTAATTTAGCTATTTGATTTATTGGCAAAACATTAGTCTGTGTCCTCAGTGGTTTAGTCCATCAGAAACGACTGACTCACATCAAATGTCATTCTGAAAGCGTGTGGTCTTACAATTGGTGATGGGCTTCTTTTGGGTCAGAATTCTCCTAAACTAACAACTATTTATATTAAGAGGTTAAGAAATGACAAACTGGTAACATTTAATCTCCTTTCTGAATTTAATCTGGTTTGCCTCTGTTAAAGATTTCATCTAACACCAGTTGCAAATCCCTTGTTGATTCTCAACTATCATCTTCTCAGGTATTCTCTCAGAACCTTTGGAGACGCCTGAAGTCCTTTCAGGGTGATGGATGCAGAGGGGGTTCTCCAGGAGGAGGACATGGAGGGATCATGGACGCTTCTGTCCCTTTTGGCGTCCCTCCTCATGGTGTTTGGGGGCGCCTTGCCGTACATCCCACAGTATCAGGAGATCCAGAGAAGCAGCAACACCGAGGGCTTCTCCACCAGAGTTTGCCTGGTTCTACTCGTAGCCAACATCTTGCGAATATTCTTTTGGTAATGATCAAAAGCTAACAACATCCTGTCAGTTACTAATTATTAGAACACATTTAAATGTGCAGTACTGTTATAATATCATAGAGAAGGTTTTCAATATTGGTTTTGCTTTTGCAGGATAGGGAAACAGTTTGAGCTGACACTGCTGCTTCAGAGTGTGGTAATGATCCTGACCATGTTTGCCATGCTCCACCTCTGCTGCACGGTCCACAATAACAACCGAGTGAGCACCAAGCAGCATCGGCTTACAGGTAACCCACCTTATGGCAAAAAAGCCACTGGTCTCAACCAAAACTGCATGATGGTTTAAAATGAAATAAAATATGTAGTCCTAAAATCGACCAGAAGAGGGTGCTGTTTGAGCACTTTACACTTCAAGCACAAAGCTTAAATACCATGTTAGACCTTTTGACTTTCTTCATTCAATTGTTTCTTAAAAAAAAATTGTTCAAATGACTATTTTCATAAAATGTACAAATACTCTACTATAAATATCACCACTCTGAAGTTTTTAATTTCTAAATAGCAGATCAAACGTGTTCCATGAAATCACTGATTCATCATAACGATCCTTCGTGGGAATACATTCAGCTAAATGCTGACTTACAATTTACAGAATAATTTTTTTTCATCATCTCATATTATATCAGTCTAAAATGTATTCCATTTTATGATAAATATGACTCACTATTGCTTAATATCACAATAAGGAAATAAAAAAAAATTCCACCTGAAGTTACAATATGTAAAGTCTAAAACAATAAGGTGACCCTGCAAGTTGTTCACTTGTTTAATACCTGAGGACTGGACCACTGCATCTCCCAGTCCTGCTGCATGGAACAGCCCTTTTTTCACCATCTCCAATTAGTAAAAGAAAGCTGCAGCTCGTTTGCTGAGTGGTTGGAAAACAAAATACATATTACCCCAGTGTTGGCTTCCCTTCACTGCTTTCGGTCTCTTATAGGATCCAATTTAGAATTGTAGTTTTCATTTTCAAAACTCTGCATAGTCTTCCCCCCTCATTCCTATCTGAGCTACTTTGTATTCATGCTCTGAAAAGCACCATGAGGTTGACCGCAGAGCCGATGCTGTCTATTCTCAGGTCTAAGCTTATTTCTCTTAGATGGAGCCTTTGCTGTGGCAGGTCCTATACTCTGGAGTAGCCTGCCTCTTAGCATTAAAGCATTTTCAATCAAATTTGAAGACTCTTCTTTTAAACTGTTTTTAGTACATGAGGATGTAAATGTGTTATTTTTTTGTTGTTGCTTTTTTAATTCCACCTTACCTGATTATTCATTGTTCATTAAGCAGCATTTCAAGCCATTTCTTTTTCTATACATGTGTTTATTTTTTCTTTTTCTATCATCTATGGAAGCGTATTGCATTCACCGAAACAAACAAAAAAATAACCAGACAGCTATCTCATAATTACGAGATTTTATCTCATAATTACGAGATTTTATCTCGTAATTATGAGATAAACTGTCTGATTTTAACTGCCATAACCTGATTACGGAAGCAATACACTTCCGTAATTATCCTTTTCTTTTAGCCTTTTGTTATTTTATTTGCTCTTTGTGTAACTAGAACTGTTGGATATATGCTAAGCAAATACTGGTAAAAATACGATCTTGACCTTGGAAAAACTTAAAGAAGTCAGAAATATTTATATTCTGTATAGCACTTCTGGATAGAGGCAAACTACATTTCGTTGCCTTGTATTTATGACAGTGTATAGACGATAAAATTGAATTCTATTCTAAATGCAGGAGGAACAGAGGTGGGGACCTTAACAAGTCTGGTTCATCCTTGAGTCCAGTTTCAAAAAAGAATCAAACATATTTTACTGTCATGATATAAATGTATGCTGATACAAAAAAAAAGTGTGGGTGGAGAAAAAAAAAAGGTTTATAAATATATGTTCCAGATGACTATTATCTCTGAGTGAATCCATCCATCCATTTTCCTTTATGCTTATCCCAAGCGGGGTGGCGAGGGTTGCTGGTACCTATCTCCAGCTGTCTACGGGCGAGAGGCGGGGTGAACCCTGGACAGGGTGCCAGTCCACCGCAGGGCAAAACGGAGACAAACGACCATTCACGCACACACACTCGCACCTAAGGAGAATTTAGATTAACCAATTACAGTCATATTTTTGGACTGTGGGAGGAAGCCAGAGAGAACCCAAGCATGTTCAGGGAGAATATTCTAACTCCATGCAGAAAGACTTGGATTTGAACCTGGAACCTTCTTGCTTGAAGGCAACAGTGCTACCCACTGTTCCACTGAGCAGCCCTTCTGAATGAATATATTGCACAAATGAATATGAATCTGTTACAATGTGGTAGGTGGAAGGTAATTTAGAGGGGTTTACTGTGGAGTGAGTACAAATACGACTTTGGAGTTATGTCACTTTCTCTTTGAAGAGAAAATGATTTGAATTGAATGCAGAGGGGGGCTGGGTCAGTCTCCCGCCTCCTGAAGGCTATGATTAGCCAGCCAGGTTGTTCTCTGGGCATCAGGTCAGTTCCACTTTGTCTCAGAGAAAAAGTTGCTCCCTTGGGATGGACTCTGCAGAAACAGTACCTGAAGTGGGGCAGGTTAATCTTTTTTTATAAACAACTATAAATATATATATATATATTTTCTTCTAAAAAGACTTGTTCTGTGGTCTGATTAGCCTGGAACGTTTAAAGGATTTCATTACATTGAAGAACTGTCCCAGCCAGAGGCAGTTAACCAGTAATAATGGTTCTGCTGAGAATAAGGAGCCAAAACTCCAGCAAGCTAAGAAGAAGGAAACCAAAACTTTGACTCAAGCAATGCAGTTAAACAACTAAATATTGAGAAAAGGTATAAACTTCTGAATAATAAGACACTTCTCTCTCTTCCTATTATTATATAATTCTGGCATTTAGCAAAGAGAAACAATTTTGTTACCTAAATCTCCTGAAACAGTAGAAGTTTAGTTTGATTTAAAGCCTGACAGGGAAAATGTTACCGTATGTGTTTTTCTATACTTTTAATGGAAATATCCAGTTTCCGCTGAAAGGCAGGAGACTAAAGCAGTTCCTTCCAATGATGTATTGTCCTAGGTTGTGGTTGTTGGTTGGAGGGAGACCTGGTTCAGCTTTGGTCTGAAGGATGCATTAATAAAAGTTTCATGTCCTCTAGGGAGGGATGCAGAGAAAGGCAGGACATTATCTATTCTTCACTGTGACTGGATTCATCTTTATTATCAGTCACGGCTGTACTGAACAATCCTTTATAAGGAATTGCTTTTTATTTATAGATGCAAACTTAATTTGTCAAGGCAAGCAAAAACCATGACAGAAATTGAATATGTGAAAGGATTTTATCAGATCTCCTGCATGTAGAAAACTATTGAATGATTAGGGCTCGTAACACAGCAACTGTTTTATTAAAATCATAAATTAGGGTTTTATATTTTGTCTGATGGATTTCAATTCTTTGTGTAGGAAATGGCTATGCCTGTGTGTGTGTGTTTTTTTTTTTTAAAAAGGGTTTAAAATAGACATTGAACTGTCTTCAGCATCTCTGCCTCTGAAAAGAGCTGAAAAATAATTCTCCAATAACATATTATTATTATACAACCCACTCTATTACATTCATATCTTCTTTTATTGTGTTGAGTAGAATAAAACAATGCATGAGGTGATGGGTCATCTATCTGCTGAAGGTCAATTGCACACCATTCTTATCTCTACATGTTCTTTTGGGTATATGTGTGAATGATAATATTATACTGTAAGATATGGAAGCAAAGTAGTGGAGTGGGAATATGCAGCTTTACCTTTCAGGCCCGCCTGCATAAAGGAAGAGACTGAAAATGATGCGCGTCCTCATGAGATGTTGTATACCTGCAGCCTAATCTCCCTGAATGGAACTCAGCCAGGCTTTCAAAGCTGAAGATCTTTGAACATTTGAGGATCTTTTCAACATTCAGCAGTGGCAGTGGGGAAGGCAGTGGGGAAGAAGCTGTTTTGGAATCTGCTGGACCTCCATCGGATGCTTTGAAGCCTCTACCCAGAGGGCAGCAGGGAGAGCAGTCCATGGAGGGGGTTTGAGGGGTCATTTATAACATTACGCGCTTGGGACACACAGTGCTGGGGTGAAATGTCTTTTATGGAGGGAAGAGAAGCCCCTATCATTTTCTCTGCTGTTCTTACTACTCTTCTCACCTTCTTCCAGTCTGAGGCGCTGCAGCCTCCACATCACACAGTGAGAAAGCTGGTCAGAACACTCTCTGTTGTGCTTCTGTAGAAGGTGTTGAGAATGGGTGGGTGCAGGTGGGCTCTCCTCAGCCTCTGCAGGAAGTATATGTGCTTTTGTTCCCTTTTGACCAGTGAGGTGGTGTTTACATTCCAGGTGAGGTTGTCTGTGATGTGCACTCCCAGGAATTTGGTGCTGCTGACAACCTCTACAGCTGAGCTGTTGATGAGCAGTGGAACATGCTTTGGCCAATCTTGCTGAAGTTTAATGATGATCTCCATTTTTTTGTCCACATTCAGGATTAGGATGTTATCTTTGCAACAGTCCACAAGCTGCTCCACCTCCTCTCTTTAGTCGTGCTTGTCGTCTCTGATGAGGTCCACTATCGTGGAGTCGTCTGTGAATTTCATGATGTGATTGGTGGTGAACCTGGGTACGCAGTCACGTGTCATCAGGGTGAAGAGCAGGAGGCTCAAAACGCAGCCCTGAGGGGAGCCTGTGCTTAGACGGATGACATCAGAGGTGTTCTGTCCGACCCGGACTGACTGAGGTCTGTCTGTGAGGAAGTCTATCAACCAATTAGAGAGGGGTGTATTGAAGCCCAGCTGTTACAGTTTTCCTATCAGATGTTGCGGGATGATGGTGTTGAAAGCTGAACTGAAGTTCAGGCATAGCCTATGTTCTTCTCCTCCAGGTGTGCTAGGCTCAGGTGAATAGCAAAGGAGATGGCATCTCCAGTGGAGCGGTAGGCGGTCGGTAGGTGAACTGGAACAGGTGAAAATGTCTGGGGGAGACCATAGATGA